AGGTAAAGGGTTGCAAGAAATTACCACAGACAAAATGTAAATCCAATGAACGTAAAGACCAAATTGTTGATCTACAATATTGAAAGTTTATTTAAAGATAATAACGGTTCATTATTATTGTTAATAGTACGATTGATGATGAAGCCACTTCACTGTTGATGTTGTTGTTGATGAATTAAAGTCAGAATTGATAATAATGTGAAAGGAAACCTTTGTATCCCATGTTAGTTTAACTTCTCATAGTAAACATAGACTCAGGAAGAAGCTTTTTTATTGTTATATAATAGGAATTGAATTGGGAATACAGTTAAGAGGCAAACGAGGCCAATGGATGAATGGAAAGATGATGAAGATAAAATGATGAGCAACTATTATCTCTCATCCTCTATCTTACCTGAGAGATAATATTAACCAAGTTATGTCAACACTTAGAAAATCAACTGAGAGTAAAAAAAGTAACTGGGAAAGAAGAGGAAGACGAAGAAGATGTCAAGATGATGAAGAAGATGATGATGAAGATGATGATAGAGCTGAGGAAGCATTTTCGGAAATGGAATTGATAAACAAACTCATCTTTTAATTTTCTCTTTCATCTTCTCAGAGTGAAAACCTTTCCTTTCTCATCCGATCTCATCCTCATCCTCATCTCTGGGAATATAAAAAAGTAACGGTAAATCTTTAACCCACTCTCACCTCAATCATACCAACACAATTACTTAATTGTTTTCCTATTAAACATTCACATTGATTATATTTTATCATCTCAATTGATACAACTGATTGTTGCCTCATCACTTTCATCATGATAATAATAAAACAACATTTATCTTTGGCACTCCCATAGGTTGATAAGTGTTAACTAACTGTGATTGTTATGATTTAATATTAATAATCAGTTAATAATTCAACGTATTAATAATATGTTACATTTGGAAATTGTTTTCTTCCATCTATGGATTAACCTTTATCCATTATGATGTAATAACATCATCCACAGGTAACAATATTATTGTTATCATAAGGATACAATTTATATACTTTTTAATACCTGTTGATGATTTAGAATGAAAAAAAAAACCTCAAACAAGATGCTAACATAACCTCTGAAACCTCATCATCATCTGTTATATGGGATTATCCCTTTGAAGGTCAATCGTCCGATGGATTAGCATTTATTTATCCAGGTAAATGTTTGTTACCCTTTAATTGTGAACTTGGATTTTATAAGATGAAATAAGAAAAACATTAATCAATAATCGTAATATTTAAATCACTTTTACTTTTAATCCTTTTTCACCTTTAATCCCTTTTCCTTGTTTACCTTTCGTTTCCCATTGACTTTTCTGGACCAAAAAGTTAAGGGGACGAAACATTAATCTTGCAATTTAATCCATTCTTGACCCTGATTAACAATTAGTCTATCATTTGATTCTCATACAATCAAAACATTTATATGTTTGTTTAATTTCTCGATTATCTCACCGGTAGAAATTTTTTATTTTCTAAAAAAGAAAATCTCATCGAACTTGTATTTAGAACTTTTTTTCTTATTCTTTTCTCTCTCTCTCTCTCTCTCTCTCTCTCTCTCTCACTCGTTAATTTCTGCTCTCAGTGATTATTATTAATGATCTTAAATGATTAAGATAATCAAGAAAGAGGAAGAAGATACTTTAACGAAAGTAAATATTAGAACATTTTCTTTTCATCGAACTTTTTCTCTCTCTCGATTAGAACTCGAGATTTGATAAAGTAAATATTGAACTTTAAAATGATAACAATAATATCGGTGTGAGATAGATAAACACTGCAACAATTAGATGATATAATAATCAGAAAATAACGGTACTTTGAAGGTTTATAATCATCTAAGATAACTAATCAACTAGTTAATCATGAAATGATACAAAGTCCAGATGAAAATGTGATTTACCAAACAATCAGTAAAAAGATGTCACAATTATCATCCCAATATAATAACATTACCAATGACCAATTGTCATCAGCAACATGATAATAGTAATAACAATTATCATCAAATTATCATAGAAACTTTTTTTTTTCATCAAATTTTCCCATAATAACAAAGGTAGACAAACACACACACACACATATATATCTATGTATACATACCTCACCCTGTATATAAAAGTAATAAAAAAACCCCATAGATATGAAAAAGGTGATACAATGTTACCCATAGGTTTCTAATACAAAGGGCAAGGGTAATAAAAGTGTCCAGAATTAAATATATTTGTAATTGGTTAACAATGGACATTTATTATTACCATAGGAGAGACAGAGATATATTTGTATTGTTATCATTGGATGATGAAGATGAAGATGATGATGATGATGAGATTGCGGCTTTCCGGGTTATTAAATTGTATTCATGATAATCCATTTGAATCCATATTATCATCATGAGCCCAAGAATCAACAATTTACCTCTTAACAAATTGCAATCAAGTGAATAAACTTTGCTTGATGTTTAACAATTTTTATCGTTTCCATATTATTATTAACATTGAATTGTTATTAGTTACGATCCGAAGTAAATTGTTATTAGTTTGGGAATTTTTTTCTCTCTCTCTCCATTCACAATTTAAATCATATGTTAGATTTTTTCGCATTTTTTATACCCACTGTTTGTGCCCTCCTTGAATATATTGTTTACGGCTGGACATTGGTCAGTATTGTGTTTAAATATCAAGTGATGAAAGTTTCATTAACCTGTCAAAATTATCATTATCATTGTCGTTGTTGTTGTTGTTGTTGTTGTTGTTGTTGGATGTTAATTGTTGATGATGTGATGCCCATAGTTGACCTAGTTAGTTGATTTAATCTTCTGAAATTTGATTCTTATTGTGTCTTATTGGTCAATCCTCTAATGGTCAGTTATATGTTTGTGTTTAGTTGTATTCATTCAAGGTAACAGGAAATAATTATATTTACAATTTACTAATGAGGCTGAAAATTATTGGGATTATTGTTATTATTATTATATGTTATTCATAAATTCATGATTAAATTTTTTTTCTCTTGGTGTCTTTTTTGGTATTGTGGTCAACCACAGGTCAGTGGGTTTAATAGTTTACCTTAAATTGATATATTATGAAAGGTAGATGATGAAAAAAAAAAGTTATCAATGTGTTTCATTGACTGGAAATGGGCAGGTAATCATTTTATTATATTAGTTATATTTGGGACTGGACAATGTGATCAACTAAAAACTGGGTCAATATTAATCTAGTTACATAATGATAATGATAATTTAACAATCTGGATGAGGCGTTACAATCAGAGTATTGATTGTTACAATTACCGTTACATTAATGAAATTAAAGGTGAAAATTGTTATCATGTTAGATTGACAAGGTTGTTACTTAATATTTTCTTAATTGTTTGGGAATTGGTGATTAAAAGTTAGTACTACTTTGATTGTTGTTATCCTTGTTATCACCTAACAGTTAACTGATTACTTGGATAAAGGATTAAATTTATTTATTAAATTGTTGTGATTTAGGAGGCGGTTACACTTTGGGATATGTTATGTTGTTACAATTCAATTCAAATTGTCATTCAAACCTTTTCTTGCTTGGTGACAATCAAGGGATGATCAAGATTGATCAAGATTATGATTAAGACAGAGATGAGGATGATGATGATGATGATGATGAACAGAATGATGATCAGGATGAAGATGAGTTTAGAAAGTGAGAGTTTCATCTTAGAAAATTTTTCCTTTTCTTATGTCAATCATTTTTTCCCTCCTCTTCAATTGTTATTACTTTTAACTATTCAATCAATGATTTAACTGTTACTTGATTGTTGTTAATCCTTCCTTGGTGATTAAACATTTGATTGTTGTTGATTGTTGCAGGAAATTTCAATCATCAACTTAGTATTTTTTGAAATATGATAATCATTATAACGGTAAAAGTTTAACCTAAACAATTGATAATTTTCATCACCCATTCAATTATTACCTTTGATTGTGATTTACAACAATAATTAAGATTTTAATCAACATTTTGCTGCATTTTTAACTTCAACAATTTTATCCACTGTTTAATTAGCAAAATGAGATGGTAATAACAATTAGCTAATTGTGAGCTACATTTTTGATATTCACTGATGATGATGATGGAAACTTTTGATCAACTGATTACAATCATGATGGTTGATTGTTAATATTGATTGTGTTGATTAGGTTTCTCAAGGGTCAAGTGAAAGGATTTACTATTGTCACAATTTATAAATTGTCAATAAAAACTTTTTTCACCTTAAATTGTAAAGGTAACCTTACCTGTCCTTATTTAAATTGAAAGTTTTTTTGTTCATCTTGATTCAATTGTGATGATTAGTTGATTATTTTTTATCAACAACCAAAACTTTTGTATTATTGTTGCTGTTGAATGTTGATTGTAATCATCATCAGTTTTTGATTTTAATTTTTCAACATCAATCTGTTCAATTTTCAAAAACTTATCATCAAATTGAATCAAATTTACAATTGATTTGGAATACAGGTAAATCCTTAACTCTCTCAACAATTTAAATTGTCACCCAAACAATAACAGTTTAACATGTTCAAAACTTGGATTGGAATTAGGTAACTATTTAAATCACTTAGATTGTGGTAAATGATTAAAATCTATTATTATTTAGCCAATTTAACTTGTTTTTTTGTTCATTCAATCAACCAACCAACCAAACCAAGTTAAATTGTTGATCAGTTAAAATGATTAGATTGAATCAAAATATTCGGCCAATTATTAAGTTTATTACATTGTTCATACATCTAATCATCTGATGATTGTATTCGCCCATTCATACAAATTAATCTTATCCTTTTCCATTGTTAATTCTCATTTAAATGTAAATTATGTTTCGATTTCTTAATTTAGTTATTTACCATTTTAGTTTGTTTTCTCCTCACTAGATGGCAGCACATTGCCGTTCTTTGTTTCTTTTGATTAATTTTAGAAAAAAAATTTTTCATTTTAACTTTTCAATTGAATTGAAATTTAATTGTTAAGATTATTAAGATTGTAAATTGTTACCCTTTTTAATTTGATTATTTTTCCCGTGTTTTTATTGTGGTCAATTGAGTCTATATTTCGGCCTTGGACTGGTTGATTTGTTCTGTTGTTACAATTGTAACTGTTTCTTTTTCCTTTGTCGTCTTTTTCGTTCATTCTACTTGCTTAATGTAATGTGACTCTTATACACAATGTTAAGTAATTTGTATTCTTCTGCCTAAAGCAACAATCAACTGATTTTTTTTTCTACTCTATTCTTTTTATAATTCTCTTTTTTGTATTGAGAAAATTTTTCGGTAAGTAAATCGTAAAATTAACTGGTGAAAAGAGAGCGGATTGTCTAGGTGATTTTATCAAAGAGAACAAAAAATTAATATAGAAAAAGTCTATAGTTATGTAACTTTATACTACACAAGGAATAAATGTTCATAGGCCTTAGATTGTTTTCTTAATTGAATACAATCAGTTAACTACGACCTCAATGATTAAGGTTAATATTTAAATTGTAAATAAGTACTGATGATAATTTTTCTTCTTTTCTAGTCGTGTGACCATTTTCAATGGAGATATTGACCATATAATAACCACATGAGAGATCAAATAATTGGAAAGGATTAACGATTAATTGTAATGGAAGATTTTATTAATTACAAGGTTTATTACTATGGTTTGTTTCTTTACAATGAATGGCAGTTTAATTTACACTTTGAACGACTTGGTTTCTCTTTTTGTATCAAATTGATTATTCTGTTAACTGTTTTTCTTGATAAACAGCTAATATTTTCTCTGTGATTTTTTTTTCTCCTTTAGGCTTCAATCGAGATGAAATGTTGAATGGAATTAATTTCCTATTGTTTAAAGATATTCAAACAACGGCAAACACAACATGATGGAAATAGAAACCAATCCATGAAGATCCCTTTACAATCATCGTCAGGATCATAAGCTAATAACCGATGCCATTTATATTTCTGTTCACAAGTACAATCTTTGTTACACCGGTGTGTTTGTGTGCTCCTGCAAGAAGAAACAAATTATATGAATATCAACCAATTAGTGACACAATGGTTAATTGTACAAGAATGTCAACAAGTTGATCAATTGGATCTGAGACACTTACCGACAAACCTCTTGTTGTATTGCTTGTTGTAGGTGTTGCGTATTGACCACAGCTCTTATTTTACCCGCTGAATTGGCAGCCCAATATGGAGTCACTATTTCAACATTTGATTCACATGAATCAATCCTAATTGTCACAATAGAAATGAAAAAGAATCAAAAAAGAAAATGGTTAATCAACAATTGATAACATAAACAGAATGTCACTAATCAACTACTCCAACAATCAAAGTTTAACCTCAATGTGAATCATTATAATATCATCAACAATTGACTACTAATTCAGGTGAGTTAATTATGACCAAAGCAAATATTTCAATTCTAAATGATTACCTTTAACTAATCGTTAATTTTTCCTCTTCATTTTCTATCTAAAAGATTTTACTTGTTCCATTTTAAAATTGAAACGATAAATGTGAATTATTGGAATATAATTGGACAATGGTCAATCCTATTGATTATTTGTGTGTGGACAACAAGATATTGAACAATTACCTTAACAATAACAAAAGAATAATAGAAAATGATTAAGATTATTACATCGTGTTTATTGTTCGTTATTCGTTTTCATCTTATATATTTTTTTTTCTCCATCAGAAAAGATATTCATGGATACTCTTGATTCTTTCTCAGGTAATTCAGTATGAAATTTACTCTCTCAAACAATCAACTCAAAGTCTATAAAATTTACCTTCTCATTTTATCATCGTTTCTCTTTCTCTTCTCCTACAACATTTTACCTGTAGAAAAATAAAAAAGTGTCTATACATTGGAGGAGGAAAGTGAATGATGATGGAAAACGTGATCACTAGGCTGACCACAAGGGTAAATATACAAAAGCAAAGATCATTGTAATGATTGTTAAAGGTAATTATGTTGACCAACAACAGGAACAATTTTAGAAATGAAAATAATCATCTTCTTGTACATGTAATTGTTGATCTTTATGTTGTCTCTTTCACTATTAGTTAACCTGTTACAATTATGTTACAACTGATTTTATTGTAATAACAATGATAAGTTGGACTAATTTTTGGACTGACCAATATGACCATCTAATGGACATGGACTGGGAATCCCTAATGAAGTTTATTTGATTGTTTTCTTACCTGTTATCAGTGAATTCCTCGTAACTAGATCTTGGAACTCGTATCTTTTTATTGTCACTATTATCGTGGTTATTTGAATTGTCACCAAATTGCTCATCTACAATTAATGGCGGTAAATTTTCACCGAACATCCGTCTAATCAATGCCTTGTTTTCCTCTATGTAATTGTCGATATTTTTCCTGTAAAATTAGATTGGTAGACATTAATGAAGTTATAGAAAAATTTGTCCAACAATTAATGGTCAACTTGTTGTTGTTAAGATTAATCGTAATTGTGAAAATTTACCTTGGATAAATTTCACCCGGTGATCCACAATAGAGTTGATTACTTTTCTTAACACAAGGATATCCTCTAACAATTTGTTGATTAACATGATTATTTGGTAAATCATTGGATGCAAATGATCCGCTATCACTTGTCGAAGAATTTAAATTGCCAACAGAATTAAATGGATCATCGGAATAAACGTAACAATTAAGGAAAGAAATTAAAAAAAAGATAACACAAATTTGATTGTTCGCAATCATCCAGCAAAGATTCATGGGATTTCACAAACAACAGTTAACAAACAATTAATCCAACCATTTAACAAGTAAATCACATTGAACTTGTGGAAAAGATTAAAGTTACTGACAGTCATGGACAATTAACCGAAATCAGAACAATTAAAGAAAACTAAACAACTTGTTTACATGGGAGACGAAGGATGGAAAATAAGAATCAACAACAAATCGCAAGTTTCAATTTCAAAGGTAACAAATAAAGTGAAAGATGAAGGTTAAGATGATCAAGTGATGATGAAGTCATGATGATGAAGATGAGAGAGTGAGAGTGAGATATAGTTAGAGTGAGAAAGAATAAAGTTCTGTGGATATTTTATCTTCCATTTTTGTTGCCGTGGGAAATGATTATGTTGATATTTATTGGATAGAAGAGGAAGAAGATGATAAGAGATGAGGAGGAGGAGGAGGAGGAATGAAAGATAACCGAAAGAGAAGAGAAAATAAAGTCAGGACTTTGGGGGAGGTCGATGGCACACCCTGAATTCTGTAAACAGAAAAGGGAACCATGATTCGGGGGCGTCACACGAACTTCATCTTCATCTTCATCTTTACCTTTAGTTCAACTTGAAGAGTCACGATTTCATCCAAAAGGTTTTATCATTTACCAACAATCACTTTTACCTCTAATTTACCCAACTAACTTAGTCATGTTCTTCTCATCATCATCATTATCATCTTCTTGTTGCCCCATCACCATGTCGTTCGCGAGAAAATTATCATCAAGATGATGATCATCAGGATAATTCACCTTGATAATATTTTCTTTTCTTCTGATTTTTTTTCTTCATCATTTAGATTTCGTTCATTTTTACATATGGAGGAGTCTTAATGTTGCTGTTAATTTGCTTTTCCACTTGCTGTCAGTTGATCGCCTTCATTTACAAACTAATTTATCTGCAATCAATTTACTTTATTTATCATCATCAACATTTCTCTCTCTCTCTCTCTCTCTCTCTCTCTCTCTCTCTCTCTCTCTCTCTCTCTCTCTCTCTCTCGTGCTTTTGTTTTGTCATAGTTTCATTTCCTTTCTCCATCAATTGAGACTCACGATTTCGCCACATTCTTTGAGAAGATACATTATTATATCTTCTTCATCTTCTCACTTGTCTTCTCCTCTGTAGTTTTAATACCTGTTATCTATTTTGATTTGTTCCTCTCTCTCTCTCTCTTTTGTTTTGACTTGTGTTCTACTTGATGATTATTTGCAGGGAGAACAAGAAAAAACAGCCTAAGGCGTTTTTTTCTCTCATTATTATTGAATTTTGGACGATCTGTTGTTTATGGCAAACTAGCGATTCCCTTTTGGTTAACGTTTAAGTTTCGCTGACTGATATTATCTCATAAATATCCATTACTCATTTTCTTTCTTGTTCCATTTAAATATTGTTTCTTATTCATTAACAGCGGCCATCAAATTTACGTTCAGTTTTAAATGGAGACCGAAATTGTGGAAATGATGATAATTATGTTGTGATGGTGAGGGAGGTGATTATCATTTGGTATTCTTGTAATTATCCTTTGTTAAATACGGTTGCACTTCCAGTTGGGCTTGATTAATGTTCATCTGTATGTTAATTGATGATATTTGATTTTGGTTTATATTTTGACCCTCAGATTTATTGTAAATAAATTCCAAACCACCGGAATATTATAATTACATTTTCTGATTCTTTTCTGGGGAAGATAAAATTGATCACTTTTACCCCAATGACTTTAACAAAGGGTAAAGAAGAAAAGAAAAACAATCTAAATTAGTTTTACTCTGATAGAATTGCCTCTGGTAACTGTACTAATATCGTGAGGTAACATGAGGACTAATCATATTGAATTTTAATTGGCTCTTCCATTTTGAATGTATCAGGAATTTTTCCAGTTATTTTGTCTTCCTCTCCTTTCTTTACACCAAATTGATTCCTAATTCTATCCAGTTCATCAGCTAACATCTGAACTGATTTAGCATCTGATTCAATCAAACCATCAGCATTTGCCTTCTTTTTGTATTCTTGGATTTTCTCAAGGAAAAGCTTCTGAATGGGATCTTGAACAGTAGCGGTAGCGAAACATCTTGAGTTGATGGCGACTCCTTGCCTGATAATCTTGGAAAGCATCATTCTAAACGAATCAAAATAACAATTTAAACAAAAAATAGAACAATTAAATCTCCAGAAAATTAAAACAATCACAAGGTTAAACAAGGAGACACCAAAAAGAAAAACAGATGAGAGACAGAAAAAGAAACAAATACTAACCTTATTTTCTTTTCTTTTAACAATTAAATTAACCCTAGAACTTGATGAATCTTCAATCACTCAAATTAAAACAATTAACTCAATTAATTGCAAGAAAACAAACAAAAAAAACAATCAACTAATTAAGATGAAAACAAATCAGAAAAATTTATTTTTCCAAAAGGAATCAACAATTGTTTCTATAAAAGAAAACCAGATGGCAGCAGTTTCGCGGAGAAAAAAATTCGCGGAAAAATTGAAAAGAAAAACAATCGCTTGAAGTTTTTTTTTAATCATCGAAAATCAATTAACAATCAATAATAAAGAGAGAAGAGTTTAATCAACTTTTATTTCCGGAAGAATAGATAATAGATAATAACCATAAACACTTAAACATATCACGGCCACTAATAATAAGACATTTATAATGAACATAAATGAGACCTGAATGATTAATGATCTGTGAAAGTGAAAGATTAAAGTTAATTAGATTGATAAATTGTTACAATTTAATAGTCGATTAAAAGTATAAATTGAATGTTATTATTTACTGATGATGTTCGAGAAACTTTTCCAAGGTACAACAAATTTTCACCGGTTTATCGCCCGATAGAACTGGACAACAATAGACTTTCGGTTCGATCATACAAGAAATTTTCGTTCTATTTCCTCGAGAATCATGAGATCGGCATATTCCAATTTCGGCTCGATGTTTTCGACCCAAACAAATCGAACCTAATAGACGAAAATAGAGAAGAAAATGAAGAAAAAAAAAATAATCCAAATTTTGTCCATTCGAGAAAAGAAAACAAGTTTACCTTGGAGCGCCACTGCTACCATGATGAAGAGAAACACGTGAAGAAAATGTTTGTTTTTCTTTCTCATTGTCATCATTAATTGTTCTCATAATTTAGTGATTGTAATTTGTAGAAATAACTGTTAATTAACTTGAAGCTTCATTCACTTTGGGAGAATTAAAATCCTCCATTTTATTTTAATTCTATTGGATTTTGATGACAATCATGTAACTACTAAAATCCTCACTTTGGTTTGTTTACCTTTTGGTTTTGTCAAATCTTTTGGATTTCATTTGGTTTAAATTGTTTCAATTAGTTGGTGATTGTTAATTACTTCATCTATCATGGTCCTGTTGACTTGTGTTAGAACATATTTGAAGACAATTAAAGTTGATTCGGTTAAAAAAGTTACTTCTTTTGGAAAAGCCTCTGTTAATGTAAGTGTTACGGTTTCTATATATTCAAATGTTGAGGATTCTTTTTGTTTTGATTGTTATGAGAATTAATTTTTTCTAATTGTTTTCTTGTTTTCTTACAATTTAGGAAAAATCAACTTCAAATTATATTGATTCTCTTAAATTAAAGGTCATCGGTGGATCAGGAGGTAATGGTTGTCCAGTATCAAAGGCTATCGGTGGTAGCGGAGGAAATGTAATTGTTGAAGCTTCCAATGAGGTTGATAATCTTAACCATGTTAAATCATGTTTCCCTGATTTAACTGCTCAAGCAATTAACGGTTTAGATGGACGAAGGACTAGATTAATCGGCCCCAATGGATCTGATTGTATAATTAAAGTTCCCTGTGGTATAACTGTTTTCAATCAATTTCTAAGTCCAATTAGTGATTTAGTTAAAGAAGGTGATAAAACAATCGTCGCCTATGGAGGTCAAGGTGGGACAATTAGAAGCAATTATTTCGGTGCTCAAGGTCAATCACAATTAATCACATTAGATTTAAGATACTATGCTGACATAGGTAAGTAATTAATCAAAATAAAAGAAGATAATCAAATCTAATTACTTCTCTTGATCCATCTCTCGTTAAAGGTTTAATTGGTTACCCTGATTCTGGTAAATCACTCCTATTAACCAAATTGTTATCATCTAAACAAAAACTATTACCAGAATTGTCAACGGAAAAAATAAATTCAAAGAGACCCTGGTTAAGAAATATTAATTATGACAATGGTCGACTAATTAGCTGCGTTGATTTACCAAGTCTAATTGAAGGAGCTCATAAAACCGATAATCGTGGTCACCATTGGTTAAAACATCTAACTCACAATCAACTGATTCTATTTGTTATCGATATAAATGGATTTAATCGGGGAATTTATCGATCACCAATTGAAACTTTACTTCTTCTTAATAAGCAAATTGAAATTTTCGATGATCGTTACCTAATCAAACCAGCGTTAATTGTGGTCAATAAGATGGACTCGATTGGAGCTGATGTGGCTTATGAAGATTTCCTGGTTTCACTTAAAAGTGTTTACACCAACAACAATCAAGGGAACAATTTAGATGAATCAATTTTCCCCAAAAAATTAATCTACTATCAGGATATTATCCCAATCTCTTGTCACCGTGACACAAACATTGATTATCTTAAAAAACGGATTAGAGAATTGATTGACTTTAATTACCTTAAATCACGTAATCCTGATTGTCCTCGCTCTTTTGTTAGCCTTCTAGAAACAATCAATCAATCAAGAGCAAAAGTCAAAACCCAATTAGTGTGAAAAAAAAATCAATACAATTGTAAATATGATGACAATTAATAATAATTCATTTGTTCAACTTTATAACAATTAAGCTGATCAACATTCATATTATGTATTGATGTTTATTGGTTTTTTGTAATTTCTTAAATTGTAATTAGTTTGGAAAACTTAATCATCAAAAATAATTCAACCTTAACTGGATTATCAAAAAGGCAACAATTGATCAAAATGTAATCCGAAAGTTTTTTATTAGTTGTATGACAATTAGTTAATCACTAATTGTTATTCACCAATCAAGTATATCAAACAAAATGAACTAAGCAAAATTAACCCTCAGGGTAAATTTTATTCAACTAATTATCACTAATTAAGATAATTGTTTAACCCTTTCGATGATCTTTTCCCCTTTTACTTACAATACTAACAATTAACATGATTAATTATCTTAATCTTAATCTGATTCTAATCAATCGGGTTTCTCATTTTGTGGCCTTGTCACTTTCCCTTCTCTGGGTTAATTGTGATGATAATCATCGAGATTGATTAAGATAATTACACTATTTTTATGAATTGAATAAATCGAGTAACAATTTAATTGTTGCACAAATTAGACTGTAACTAATTAATGATACAGATAAGATGAGGAAATTAAATTAATCATTAGTCACAAGGGAGGAGAAAATAGTTAATCAAAAATAATTTGAATGTAACAATTAGTTTCTCGTTACTACCTTAAGGTGAATTCATTGATTTCCTTAATTGTAACAATTAAATTGAAACTTTTTTTGAAACATAATAATAACAATGATGAAATAAGTTAACAATCAGATAGTTAGTTTTGAGATAAATTATTATTATTTAATTTTAATCATGATCAATGGAGATGCAATTAAAAGCTAATTGCTGTTTTAATTTTATACAATGGCAACACAATTAACTGATTCAGATCAACTGAGATGCAGTTAATTGTGTAAAGAAAGAGGGAGAGAGAGAGAGAGAGGAAGAAAAGTAATTATAACTATCCATTGGGTGATTAAGTTAATTGTGGCTGTAATTTGAATGAATTAAAGGCCTTTGAGAGGGAAAATGATGAATGATGATGATTTGATTGGCGAGTTGAAACAACTATTGATTAATTGTCGTTAAATGATTGGATCGATGTCGGGATTGATTAATGTGTTGATTGAATCCTCACCGGGAGTAATTTATTGCCAACCACCCCAATGTTGTTGCTCGTGTCCCCAACCTTGGTGCTCTTGGCCCCACCCTTGGTGCTCGTGGTGAGTGTAGACTGGCACGTAAACATATTTAACGTGCTCCTTGTGTCCACAGCAATTGTGTTTATTATCCTTAATGATGATATTTTCACCGCCTTTCTTGTTCGAGTTCAAAATGATCTGTGAATGTTTATCCTGAAGGACGATGTTTGAACCTTTATCACCGGCGTAACTTAAATCCATAAGGCACCAAAGGCAGACAATGATGGCAATAACAATAACTTTTGGAGACATTTTATTAATTGTTGGTAGTGATTTGGTTGATTGTTAAAAAACACAGGAAACTTTTAACTGTTTAAAGTTGATTGTTGTTGTTGTTTGTTTGAAGACTTGTGAGCAAGTTGATATTTTTCCAAATGTCAGTTGAGTTTATATAGTTAATGGAAAGTTGGCCAAATTGTGTTGATTAGTTTGTCAAAAAATCATCATAATAATTTGATTGTGATGATAATTTGTGAGAAACACTAGAGAGAGAGAGAGAGAGAGAGAGAGTAAAGGTGAGAGGTGGGAAAATAAGAAAGTGAGAAAGTGAGAGTGAAAGAGTGAAAAGAAAGGGTGAGAGAGGGTGGAGAGAGAGAGAGAGAGAAGAAAATTAATAAATTAGTTAACAAGATTGGGTTAATTGTTGCAGGAACTTGATTGTTGTTTAAATTGTCGTGCTTAACCAAGCAAAATTGGCCCGGTAGTAAGTTGACATAAAAACATTGACTGACAATTTAAAACAACAACAATATTGTCATGTTAATCTTAATCAAGTTATTAACCAAATTAATTCATTTTGATTATGATTAATTTACTTTTTGTTTCAATCATCAATTGTAATCATATTTATTGTCCAGATCAAAGGTTAATCCTTAATCCAAAATTATTGTAATGGTTTAAAGGTCCGAAATGGTTGCTTGGTTTTATCCATCTACAAGTAAAACAATTAAAAAGAAACAACAATAATTAATTTACTTTTGAAAAGATTTAAATTGTTACAATTGAATTGATGGGTGATCATGTTGATTAAATAGGAAGAGATTAATTATCACTAAATCTACACTTACTGTTTGATTTTCCGATTTGATTATCAAAATGTTTTCCACAATTAAACCAATTTGTTATTCATTAGACCGTTCGGGTTAATTGTCATCAATCAGGTTCCAATTTTCTTGTCATCTAAAATTCATTAATTAAGATGAAAAATATAATCATAATTAAAATCTTCGAATAGCTCATCGGATATTCAGAATTCTCAGTAACTTTGTAACTCGAAAAGTTTTTTCTCGATTATCGATTAATCATATTCGAAGACAAATCAATTTCCATTTCATTATCTTGTTTATTTCGATTGCTACTCGAAGTAATTAACGAAAATCGCTGATTCTAATAGTTGAATTAAGATCATAACGATTGATGATTAATCAATTCTCATAGTTGATTAAAACACTTGATCACAATCAGGAAACTAATCATTGAGATTATTGGACTTTTTTCAAGTTAATTTTTTAGTAATCATTTGAAATTCCCTAGTAATTAATATTGCAATTAATTGGCATTTGTTTAGTAAAGTTAATTGTTAAGAGCTACACAATTGAGAATAACAATTAACTTGTAAATCAAGGCCTAAGGATAAAGGTTAATATTTATCAGTTATTATCACTATTGAACTAATTTACAAATCTAATCAACTGATTTAAGTAAATTGTTTAGTAATACAAATAAGATAGAAGTGAAAAGTTTACTAATTAATGATGACAATTAGATTAGTAATTTAAATTGTTTAAACAAAATAGAGATAGAGTCAGGTGAATATCTAATTGTCAACATGAAAAGATTAATTTTTTCAAAAAAGATAATCCTAATTAATCAACAACAACTGAGAATGTAATTAATTAACGTTATGTAACTGTGACTATGATGATAATAAAATAAGTATCGTTACAATTAACGACAACACAATAGAAATTAAAACAACTAATCAAAGTGTGAACAAAATTAAACAAAACGGAATCAAAAATGGATTTTTTTTCTGACAATTTTATGATCATGATTGTCAAACGATTAACAACTTTAGATGTTACTTTAATTGGTCTCACTTAAATTAACTACTTGTAAACAGTGTAAATGTTAGTTAGTTAATTGAATATATTAATCTAATAAAAGGTTGACAATTTAGCGGAAACAATTGATACAAACAATCAATTTGTTCAAACGAAAAATCAAAAAAAAATAATAATAATAATCTTTATCTCCATTAAATGAATAAAAATATTAACTTACCTTTTCTTTTATTGTGTATCTCTCTTTGGTTAACCTGTTTTCCTTTAATTAACACAATTAACTAATTAGTAGAATAAGAAAATAACAATTTACCAGAGAGAAAAAAGAAAAGAAAATCAAATAAAAAGAGAAAACCAAATGTAAACAAAACAAAAATTCTCGTTGCCATTGGTTACCAATCAGATTTTCTTTTCTTTGTTTTAGTGTTGCGCGATACCGATAGAAAGTATTGATTGATAGTATCGGTATTGATGGTGGAAGTATCGATAATATTTTTAATACTCGGTATCGAAAAATATTGAAAGTATTGAAAAGTATCAAAATATTACAAGTATTGTTTGAGTGATGAAGATTTAAATGAGCTCATCAGGCAGAGATTCTAGGAAAGACAATATGTTTACATTTTTAGGTTTAATCCTATTTCTCTTATCGGTTATTATTGAACCTGTTTTGGAAAATAACCTCTCACAGGGAACTGAAGTAGCTTGAATACAGAGATATTGCATCGCCAAATTATGCAGTTGAGGGTAAATAGACTTGTTATTTTTCCAGTACTCGAGTGGGTCAGCTTTACGAGGTATTACATCAGACTCCAGGTAATGTTTGAGCCCATTATGCATTCCACCAGCTGGGTTAGATAGTGATCGTGCCTTCTTGTCATAGTCCTTCCAAATATCATCGTCATCATCAGCTTCATCATAATCGTAACAAATCCTTTGGGTCAACTGGACATCTGAGAGAATATTACTCATATCAACATATTGAAGAGAACAATCTGAAGGTGAAGAGAAAGCGAGTTTTTTAAAACGAGGGTCAAGAAGAGTAGAAAAAGTGAATAGTCGTATTTTTTCAATACAACCGAATCGAGTTTGTAAATTTTTTGATAAACGCTCAACCAAAGCTTTAACCAATGAGATATCTGGTTTCATTCGGGCCAATTTAACTTTAACACTAGCCAATAAAGGTATGATACGAGATATCGTAACATAAAGCTCACCAGAAATATCCTCTGTTACATCATTAAATGGCTTCAAAACCTTAGATATCTGACGTAAAGAGTTTACATCATCATCACTAATATCTATTCCTCTTCTAGAATGTTTCAAAAGAACAATAGAAATGTCTTGATGTAACTCTAAATATCGAGCTATCATATGATAAGTTGAGTTCCATCTTGTAACTATATCTTGTATCAATTTTAAAGGTTGAAGGTTGTTTTCTTCTCTTGTTGTTGTTAGATCAGACATTAGTACACTACTTTGCTTGAAAGCAGTGACCAGTGTTCTCACTTTATCGATTAGATTGACTAAGTCGATGCTTGCTTCTAATGCATCTTCGACTACCAAATTGATCTTATGAGCAACACAATGTATGTGTGGACCACAAGACTTAGCTGCTTTTGAGTAGTTGGCAGCTCCATCAGTTGTAATAGCAGCTAGACTTTCTAAGTTCAAGTCAAACTCTTGACAGGTATTCTTGATAAAACTTTCAATCCTTTCTGATGTTGCCTCTCCTTTGAATTGATCAGCTTTGATGCATGCACTTAACAATTTATAATTATCAATAAAATGAACAGTAATACCAACGAAAGAGGTTTGATTACTGATGTCCTTCCATCCATCACAGGTTAAAGAGAACCATTTGATATTACTGAGAAAAACCTTTAGCTGGTTGGATTTGACATCATATAAATTCGCAATGGTTCTTCTTAATGTGTCTCTAGATGGTGGTTTGTAACTCCTATTAAGAGATCTTATTAGCTCTTTGAATCCACGTTGTTCAACAATACGAAAGGGTAAGGCATTCCAAATCACCCACCATGCTATCTTAATATTTAACTGCTTGTTAGCATCACCATCTAAAAAAGCAGATAAAATTATGTATATTAACATAAAGTTCAAGAAGCTAACACTGCGAACAAATCACCTTTGGTTGAACACATTAAGTTTAAAGTTTCATCTATTTTGGGTTGATCACCATCACTAGTCAAATCCAATGAACCACCGAATTCAGCTTCATATGTAAAATTATGATTAATCCTCAAATGTTTAAATAGGTTTGTAGTGTTTCCATTAGCTTTGACTGGCTTTAAACAAATTAAACACCTTGGATCTTCACCTTGTTTCCTTTCAAAATGGTTCCAAATGCGACTTCTCTTAGGCATAGTCACTGGTAAAAGAAACGAGATAAACACAAATTAAACACTTATATTAGCACTTATTAGTTGATAATACACTTTTACTTACCTTTAGAGGATCACATTAAATAGAAAAAAAAACAAAATTAAATGAAAAAAACGATCAAAATTAAGGTAAAAAAACCATCAAAACACCAACTCTTTTGCTACCTTCTGATAAACAAATGCTTTTTTTCAATACTCGATACTCTAATCGAAAGTATCGAGTAGTATTGAAAGCGATGGTATCGATAATATTACTCATTAAAAAAGTATCAGCGCAACACTACTTTGTTTACATTTTTCTCTCTGTTCGATTTTTTTGTTTTAAAGATAAATTCAATTAACTTTCTTAATTAAATTTTCTTCTTTTCAATTTTTGTCTATAGTTATAATTGAACAATTACCTTGTCGACTAATTGTTGGAATAAGAATTAATTTCATCAAAGATCATCAAATCTTAACCTTTTCCATTTTTTACTTTTCCCTATGGTTTTGGATTTTTAGTTTGTTAGTTGTAACAATTTTTTCGCATTTTAATTAGCCGTTAAGGTGAGTAATTAACTTTCATTTTTCTTTTGTATTTATATTTAATATTCTTGTAGTGTGATTGGTTTAATTAGTTAATCATCAGTTACGTGTTATTTGTTAATGAGAAATAAACCAAACTAATCATTAGAGTAACAACAAGATTGTTATTGTAATGGAGAGAAACAAAAAATTTAGAGCAAATTTTGATTGGTAATTAGTGAATTATTAACCAATGAACAAGTTCAATCTAATTATTTATGCATATTGTCAGTCTAATTGTCCGTGATTAACAATATTTTTCATTATTATTCAACAATAATCAACATCTTTTCCAAACATTTGTGTTGATAGATTTTCATTCATTACGTAACATTGATTCGGATAATTCCGGTTACTTATAAGATCTTAACCTTATAAGTTGATTATTAGATTAATTACTTTATATATATTTTTCTATCTCTCTCTCTCTCCTCCCAAATCATTATCGGAACAATGATTTTTTCCTTCTCCCAACATATCATCACAATTAGACCTTATCATCTCTTGAAAATCTTAATTGTCCATTGAAATGTTTACTTTTTCCTTCACTAGAAACGGAGCAAAAAAAAAATAACTAAATAATATCCACACAGTCCAACCAATTGGTGACCTATAACATAAACTGGCCACAAAGTCACTTTCATGTGTCAATTTGGTTTAATTTGATTCTCTCACTGATTTTACTAATTTTCCTATTCCTTGATTATCCCAGAAACAAACATGGCCAATCTTCCTGATGATTGTTTGCTGATCATTTTTCAATATTGTGACGATTTAAATGATCTTAACAATTGCTTATTGGGTAAGTTGATTTGATGGTTTCTCAATGAATTTCCTCTTACATTTATCTCACACCCTGAATGGGTCAGTCTAATACGTTGTTAACTTTTTCTCTCTCACCTTTCCTTTTACCTGTAAAAGTTTGCAAGAGATGGAGGCGATTGGTCAGTTATCGTTTGTCCAAAGCTAAATGTTTAACTGGTAAAGCGATTAAATTTGTTGATTTCTTCTGTTATTCTGTTAATTGTTCGTTTAATTGATTGTCTATTATTGTTTGTGATTATCTTTTATATTCAGATGATCCATGGCCAAGGTGTAAAAATGATTATGATGATTACCTTTTGAAAGTTGAACGTAATGCAATTCCAAGTGGATTTGATGTCGCTAAATTAACACCAAATCTTGAGGTGAGAAATTAATTTTGTCTTGATTAACTTTGATTAATCTGATTGTTTCCATTTTCCTTGTTTCAGATTCTTGGTTTACATTATTCTTATGGAGCTAATAGTCGATTTGTCTTCCGAATACTCAAAACCGTGGACTCGATTAAAGGATTGATCTGTTTCAAGAACTATGAACAATTTTCAATTGCTCCTTTTTGTGGTGAACTCACCATGATTGTTGCTACCTGTTTATCCTCATATTTTAATAAATATCACTTTGGACGTAACCTCAGGCAATTATATCTGAGCAATATGAGCCTTAAACAATTTAGCGATTGCTCCCGTTATTGTACTAATTTAAGACGATTACATATACAATACAAAGGAGGTAATTATTTGATTAGGAAGATATTAAAATGACAATCGGATTTGATTGATTTTCTTACCTTTTCTTTTATCTTCTAGATGAATCGGATATTTGCTATTCGGGTACTACACTGAATCGACTTGAAATTTTGGAAATTTGTTCTTGGGCATTGGATGAGACGCTCGATTATCCTGGATTTCACTTTATGGACTTTTGTCCTAAACTGAAAAGCGCTTATCTGTGCATCGAATCGTTAAGATTTCCTTTCGATGCAAATATTAAAAACAATCATCTCGAAGATCTTGTTATCGAAGTTGTAAGTTTATTCCTACAAGAATAAGCTTATTGGATATTATTAAATTTCTCACCTTTTTTTTCGTCCATTTTTAGATTCGTGGATATGCACCAACATGGGAAATTTTACTTCGATTGCTTCTTAAATTTCCAAACTTGAAACATCTCGCAATCCGATCTAATCCTTCAATTGAAGACGAGAATATCCAAGAATTGGTTCATATTCTACCCAAATTGGTTCTGTTGGACGTTCGAAATTCAAATAAGATCACTAAAGAATCGAAAAAATATGTCGAACGTTTTAGTGAACAATATAATCGACCAATATCGTTCTACTTTAACAAGGAAGACAAAGAAGCGATCGCTCGAGATTGGCCAAAATTATCGTCGAGAGTTGATTGGATTGCCAGAGATTTTAATTTCATGCGAAATTGTTTCCTAAAACCTTTACATTTACTCCCTTATCTACTCATCCCTTGAACTTTCAACTCTATCAATCTATGCAATCAACATCAATTTAATCACCAATTTTAATCTTCCACTAACAATTAATCAGTGCAATCAAAGTTTCATCAGTTAATCAACTTTCCTCCATTCTCATCAACCTTATATCTCTACCTCATAAACAGAGTTTATACTCTCTCTCTCCTCTTCCTTACAATTATAATCATCATCAACTTTCACCTTATTACTATTGTAATACAATTAATATTTTAATAAGACGATAATCAATCAATTAATCTAACAATTTAATTGGATACTTGAAAGGCAAAAGTTTGTTATTTAAAAAGGTCAATTTAAACCATTCGAAACAATCAACTGTAATCCATTGAATTGACGAAATATTAATAGTTGATGACATTTTCTAATCTTATCAATTTCCAATTCTAAATCTTAACCTTTTAAATGAACTCGCAATTAAATTTAATCACTGGAAATGGTAATTGATTTAAATTTTACTAAATTGAATTTGTCCCAACTGATAACAAAATCAATAGAATCTATTAAATTGTTGAGAAGATCGTGAGTTTAATGAGATAATTTTTGATCAAACAAAGGATAATTATTTGCAGTTGGCTTTTAATTGATTCCATTAATTGTTGTTGATCAAAATTTTTTTTCTCGCAAATTTTCCAATGTGTCGCCATCTAACGGAAGGTGGAAAAATCGATTGGTTGTTGTTGTTTTGATTGAAATTTGGATTTAATTTGAAAAGAGTGATGATTTTGTCTCATTGATTAAATTGTTTTCTCTTCATCATCACCTTAATCATCGACAACTTATTTTCATTTAATTACCAATTTCTCTGATTTATCTGGTCAATCGAGAAGAAGAAAAAAATAGGATAAGAGAATAAGAGAATATTTCAATTGTTTTATTATCCACTTGTTTTTAGTGTTCTTTTTACTTTTGTTTTTGTTTTGTTTTTTGTTCTATTCTCATTTGTTTCTTTCTGATCAACAGTTGAAAATGTCTACCCAACCCGAACGAAACCATAATTCGTGTGATTTTTTCGATGAGGATATTGTTTATCGATTAAACAATAAAGGTCAAATTGAGGTTGGAATAGTAGTTGAAAGCTGCGAGAATGCCTCATCATCGGACGATGATTCAGACACTGAATCAGGTGAAGCGAAGAAGAAATTGAAACGCCTTAAACCAGGAACAACTGGAGTCTCATGGTATCCAAGGGGTAATTTTGAAAATCTACCAGAGAAAAAGGTAAAATTTACTAATCAATGGATATCCAGTTCTATAATTTATTGCCGATTAAGCTTTAAATCGGTAAACGTGTAAAATTTTTCTCTTACAAAAACTATTTTCGTTTTCTTTTTTTTCCCCCAATAGGTTAAACTATATGATCGATCTCTTCTTCCGGGTGATGTGGTCAAGTACATTGGTCCATCGAGAAATGGTTTAATTGGCTACTGTAAAAGCTCCAATATTAATTTTTGCCTTAAAATTATTGGAACCAATAAGATCATTGAAAATGTCGATAGCTCTTGTTTTGAAAATCTGACCCCAGTCCAAACGGACATCGTTTGTATTTACAATTCTTGGATTGGTTACATAGATGATACAAGCTATGCGGTCACTTTATTATGTAAAGATGGGTCAATAGTTGTACTTCAAGATGAGGAATTGAATGATTTTGAAGATCTACTTGAAGAGAAAAGTCGATCCTGCCAATTTTCCAGTGAAAACAATTATATTGGTCAACGATTAACTGGACCAAGAAAATGTCTTCGAACGGGTAATTGGATAAAGCAAACTGAAGAAATGGCCACTGCATTAGCGTCCAAGAAATTACGTAAACGTCGAGTTCAAGTTACTGTGATAAATGTTGAATTAGCTTCAATCTCATGTCGTTGGTTATGTTGTATCCATCGGAGTAATGATCTTATTCCCGGTGGAATCAATATTAGTGTTAAACAAACCCGATTAACTGTGAAAGAAGAGGCTACCGAAGATTCAGATTCTAGTCTTAAAGAAAACCAATGGTCAGTTGACTTACCCAATTTCGGCCGGGTCACCATTCAAGAATATGATGAAACCTCTGGTAAAACTGAATTACCATGTGACGTGATTTATGGTGACGAAGTGAAAAAGGTTCGAGTTCTCAATTATTATCAAAAATGTACCTTACAAGTTGGTGATTTGGGATATTACACATTAAAGGAAAGCGATAAATTGGTCAATGAAGATGTTTTCGTTAAAAAATTGACCAACAAAATTATCCGTGAACGTTTTGACCTATCCAATGTTAAATCAAGCACATCAATTAGTCAAGAAACTGATGCTAAAAGATTAAATCAACTGAAAGAATCAACCAAAAATTCACCAAGTGAATTAGCACCTTCTCCTAATCCACAAATAGAGGATAACAATTCTAATGATGCCAGTGAAGATGAATATGAAGAAGTCTCGGATTCTGATGATGATTCAACCTCTCAAGCTGATTCGTTGACTCGTTGTATTATTGATGAATTAACCTCGAATAGTAACAATAATCGAGGTCGAATTAGCCGTAAGAAAAAGTGCCCTTCCGTTTCAGTGAAAAGAGTGAAAGAGAAAAAGTTGAAACCATCACAGAAACGGGAAAGAGCCGAGATGCCGGTTGACCTATCGATTGGCTCTCGAATCGCTGTACAAATCGTCTCAACGGAAACTAAAGTGACCCTAATTTCCCAAAACAATGAGACCTTAACTGATGTTCCTTCATACCTTTTATATCCCTTACATCACCTGGATGGTCATGAGTTTTTCCCTGGTGATTTTGTAATTGAAAATCGTGAGGCTGTTTCATTTTTAGTCTATGGCGTTGTCCAGAAAGTTGACCGAGCCGCTCGAACGGTTCTAGTCGATTGGTATAAAACTTCAACAACCGAAACCAAACCAACCTTTTTATCACAAGAAAATGTTAGCGCTTATGATATTAAAGATCATCCAGATCATCATTATCGAGCAGGATGTTGTGTAATCAGAGTAGATTCAAATAATCATGAATATCCACCGGGTGACCCATTCACTCGAGCAGGTCAAGTGATTGAATGTTGTACTGATGGACAATTGTTATGTGCTTGGGCCGATGGAACCAAATCAAAAGTATATCCTCATGAATTATTTATCATCGGTGAATATGTAAGTTGAAAACAAACCATTTAATTTATTACAATTGATTTAACATTTTCTCTCTTTTTTCCAAATAGGATTCAGATGACCTCTGGGCAAGTGACAATGAAATTGAAGAGGATAATCTAGATAATAGTATGCAATCATCTGAACAAGGGACACCCAATCGTAGTAAAACAATTGAAAGGAAAGGTGAATTCGCAATGATTGAATCAGTGCCTTTAGCACATTCTTACAAAGACTCAGCCCTTGCGTCCACTGAATTTTTCCACCGTAAAATAAGGAAGGAGATAACTTTATTGAAAAATTCTCTACCCCCTGATATTCATGTGAAAAGTTTCGATGAGCGAATTGACCTATTCTCTGTGATGATAAAAGGTCCATCGGATACACCTTATGAAGATGGACTTTTCCTCTTTGACATTCAATTACCATGCAAATATCCATTTGTACCTCCATCGGTCCAGTATAAAAGCTACTGTACCGATCGGCTTAATCCAAATCTCTATGAATGTGGTAAAGTTTGCATTTCTTTACTTGGAACCTGGACCGGAAAAGGAACCGAAGTTTGGGATTCTAAAAGTTCAACTCTCCTTCAATTGTTACTCTCAATTCAAGGACTTATCCTGGTACCCGAACCTTATTACAATGAGGCCGGTTACATGAGGCAAAAAGGAACCCCAATCGGCCATGAAAATAGCCGTTTATACAATGAGATGGTGATTGTTAAATTAATCCAATCAATGACCAAAATGATTATTTCCCCTGAAGATGCTTTTAAAGATGAAATTATGGACCATTTTAACAAGCGAATGAAACATTTTATCTCTCGAATTGAAAATTGGCTCAAAATATCTGATACATGGAACAGTAAATATTCAAATGAACCAATTGACAAAATGTTAACCCTGTTAAACTTACAAGATGATTACAGTGCAAAAAGATTACCGGGTTTCCCATTGTTACCCGGATCTCAAGGATTCTGTTTATCTGCTCGAAAAGCATTGAACATTTTGAAAGAAAACCTTACCTCTTTGAATATCAAATTCTGATGATGATGATCAACCACCAACACTTCAATTATCATTACATTAATCAGAATGTAATCAACTTAAATAACGTTTTACTCGAATCTTCATCAATCACTTTTCTCTTAAATTTTCACACTTTCAATTAAAATACCTCTTGAAAGATTTACTCTTCTTCTCCCACCTTGTTTAATTCTGTTCATCGAGTCTCTAAAATCATCAATGTTTAACAATAGAAAGGAAAACATTAATGGAAAATTAAAAGAAAACTTAATTGTAACTAATTAAAGTGAAAGAGTTTCAAAAACTCATTTGGTTTTTTACCCAACACACAGAAAATCATATCCACCATTTTAATTGATTTCCAAGTCGAAACAAAATGTAAATTGTTTGATTGATTTTATGAGAGTTACGAAGAAACCAGGATAATGATTGAAATTTACCTTCCACCGAGTGGAAAACTGATGATTCTGGATAATCAATAGACCGTTATTATCATGGATTCTATCAATTCCCACTCTTTATTATCTCACTTAGAAGATGGAAAACTAAAAGAACGATAAAAGAAAGGTAATCATTGGAATAGAAATAATCTTGGAATCATATCTGATTAATATTATCACCGATTTCCCATGGAGGAAAAAAGCTTAGTACATTATATTATCCACAGAAATCAGAGGAATTATTTTTGTGTATCTAATCCCTGAGGGAATTTTTTAAAACTCATCAGTTTGCCCTGGGGCATAAATGGTTACATTATTTTCATTGGTAAAGTTTTTTTTTCCAACCATTTTCTTGCTCTCCTCATCCTAAATAAACATGGAAATGAATGAAAATCAGGAAACAAGATGAGGAAAAGGAAGATGACATAGAAATAACATCATGTATATTGTCATCATCATCATCACCATGAAAATTCAGAACTTGATGAATTCTGAAAATCTAAACAAAGTATTTGATTTATTCAGAGCAAAAAAAAAGTTCTAAATTATGTAAAGAACAACAAAACTAATTCGTAACTGCGAAAATCGTTATTTTCTTTACCATTGATTAGCCACAATGGAATCAAATTGATCTAATTAACTTTTCCATTCCCAGTTAATCGTAAAATCTAGAAAAAAAAACCAGAGAAAAACTAATTAAATTGTTAATCAAATTACCAGAACAATTAAAAAAGTTTCAACTCCATAAACAAAAACTTCATGATTAACTTTTAACACACAAGTTGATTAATAAAAACAACTTTTTCACTCCAAAAGCAATCAATTAATTGTTAACTCTCATTACACAATTAACTTAATGGTAACTGTTAAACAATTAATCTGATTATAAATAATAATTGTTAAATTGAGCAAAACAATTTGAATAATTTGATTAAAAACTTTTTACTTTCAACGTTCAATTTATAGTAAAGATAATAAATTATTATAATAACTTATTGGTGATTATTTTTTCATTCCCATGTATTAGTTGAATATATTATCAATATATACTCATGCGTATCTGTTATTCACCATGAGAACTCACCATGAACAGTGAACAGATTATTCAGTTGAAGTTCATTCTGTTACCTGAATAGGTTAACAATCAACTTATTGTTGCTTTTTTTTCATCTGTTGCAAAAAAAAACGCGAATTTGATTAACTTAATTGTCTTTACCGAACCGTTTAATCAACAAGAATCACAATCATCATCATCATCGATAGATAAAGTTTGATTTCAATTCTAACTGTTAATTGTAGTTTAACACACAAATGATATTATTTAATTTACATGCTGATAATCAAATCAATCACCCAACAATAAATTGTTTCATTTCTGATTCTTAAATTAATTCTGATCTCTTATAAATTGTTACACTGATTCATTCAACATGTTGATCATTAATTGTTAATCATCACCATTCAGAATATCAAATTGAATTGAGTTTCCTGTTAAACTAATTGCTACAATATAATTACATAAACTGTTCACGTTTACAATTAACGTTTGCCCATAAAAATATATATATATATATTTAATTGTTACATCGTTGACAAAGTTGGTGTTTTATTGTTATTAAATTGTGTCAATTTGTTTAGTTAATATTCAGTAATCACGATTTGGATAATAAAACTGTTTTCAATCACAATCAAGAAAATAATTCATTGATTGGAAACAATTTTCACTCCATTGTCAACTTTAGTTGATTGGAAATCGATCCGAGAGGAAAAGGAAAGTGGCAAGTTAATTGTTGGTTAGAAGATAATTAAACAATTAACAATTGGACACAATCAAAAGTTAAAGTTTCCCTGGCGGAACGAGACTCGCCGTAGACGAGCAAATATCAACCAGAACCACCACCAACAGAATCCCACCAAGGACCAGAAAATCAACAGCACCGTCGAGGTCACGATGCCACCAAAAACCGACAAAGGTCGATCAACACCCCAACGAGGTGAATCAAGTAAGTTAATTATTCTAAAACAATTAACTCATCAAATGATTAGTAAATTAACTGAGCATCAAATGAACAATTTCCTTTGCTACTCAATTGAACAAAAAAACCAAAAAAACTGGTCAACATTTCTCATGATCAATAATCAATTGAATTTATATTCTCACTTGGTTCCAATTTATTTTCATGATATTTACATGATTCATGATCAATGATTGTTTCAATCTCCATAATAATCATAATATATATATGATATTTGAGATAAAGAAATGCTGAAATTTTATTTTACTTACCATGGAAAACTATTCACAAATATAAATATATCATTTTTCAAGATTCATGATATACACTTGACATCATGATGATGATCATCATCATGATCAATAACAAATAATCACAAAATCAATTGTAATAATAATAGTAACTTATTTTTCTCGCATGATAAAAATGTAACTCAAAACTTTCTCAATATTATTATATGGAAATGAAGTTCATCTTAATCTCAACTTAGAATTTCATATTTTCCTCCCTGCCAAGAGATTCCAGAAAATTTTCTCAAAACTAAAGTGTATAAATCTCTGAGTTTATACAACATGAGTTCATGATCATCATGCTCATTAATCTGAATACATAAAACATGATAATAGATGTAGTTGTTGTTTCCATTGCTTCAGGTGTATCCATGAAAAGTTATTACTCTTGGTGAGCGATTTATTGAAAAAACAAACTATTCACAATTCTAGAGAATTGAATGGAAAGAGAGAGAGAGAGAGAGAGAGAGAGAGAGAGAGAGAGATGATCTAGAATGATTATTATTTCTCCATGATGATTACTCAGGCTCTCAGGGAATGGAACTGAATTCATGTTCATTATCAGGCTATTGAAGCTATTGATTGGATTATTTTTTTTCCCTATTCCAATTGTAATGAAAATAGTAATAATACTAATAATGATTATGATAAGTTTCATATTGATTAGTTGATACTCACCATGATATCATCGTCATTATCATCATCATGTTGATTATCATCTTGATTAACCTAAAAAAAGCTTTGGATGATAATAATTATTACCATGATAATAGTAAACTTTTAATTGTCTATTCAACTTCTTGATTCATTTCATTGTTATCAACGATTTTTATTATTACCATTAAAAGGTTGATGATTATTTTTTCATTCATCGCCATGAGAGATAATCAATTGATTAATCAGAATAGAAGAGGAAATTTTTTTTCTCGATAAATTTGAAAATTAGATTGGTGGTGGTGGTGGAAAATATTATTATCATTATCATCGCCTGGGAGTGGGAGGTTAAACTCCCACTGATAATCACAAAGATGATAATATAATAGAGAGAGAGAGAAAGTTTTTCTCATTGAAATTCATTCATTTCTTTAATTCTGTTCCCATTCAAATGTAATGGTGACTTTCATGAGGATGAATGAGCTGAATCACAATTGAAATTGAGATTTAAATTCACAATCAAAGCTCTAAATTGTTATTTTTATTACCTAACTGGTTGATGATCACTAACTGTTGAAATCATTGAAATGTCTTGTGAATATCTATCATGAGATTTACCTGTAAATCTTGATAACTTTCACTTGAATTTCCTGAAACTCACAAACAAGAAACCAGAATCACCAGATTAACCTGAATTTCTTGAGATAATAATAATAAGATGATGATAACTACAAATCAAACATCATGATGATTATTCAATTTACTGAAACAACTCAATTTTCATCATGATGATAATCATTTAAAGGCTAATGATTTTTTCATGGAAAATGCAAAAAAAAACTCAATCAAATCACAATTTTTACCATTCCCACTCTAACTTACCCACCGGTGGGTTTTTTAAGCAAAATAAAGGAGACAACAATCAAATTGATGATTAACTTTTCCAATTAATTATTAATCATCTAATTGACAAATAATATTGTTTGATAATTTTGTTGTTTTCATCATCATTTTTACCGTTACTTTTTTTCATTGTTTAATTATCATCATCATAATTAGTTTGATGATGATGATAATTAGTTAATAATAGTCTTGATCATGTCAATAATAATCAATCATCATCAATAGAGATTAACTAAGTTAATTCAGTTTAATACATTAGATATATAAAATATCATCAAATCAACCATATTAATGATTATCAGGATAATCGTTGGCAAACAATTTATCATTAATTAGTGATAATATTAACAATCTAAATTAATTAGTATCAATTTTCATTTTCCAAATGTATTAGTATTAACAATTATGTAATGATAATGAAACAAATTTGTCTTGATAATATCAAAATTAACGTTAACAAATTAAAAGCAAAGTTAATTAGTCTAATTAAAACTAATCACAGAGCCATTTAGTTGATGATTAAAGTTGATTTAACACAATTAAATATCAGCTTAATAACGGAAATTGAAATATCTTCCGGTTTATATTATGATGATGATGAAGATAATTATTACCTTGAGAGAGAGAGAGAGGTAAAGTAATTAGAGTTAATTGTTAACAGTTAAATCAAAAGGTAACCAAGAAAATTAAATCAATCAAACTCAATCAAGTTCAATTAGTTAACAAAACCCAAACCCACACACACAAATCAAACAAAATAAATGGGAGAAAATTAAATCAATACAATTTAGATGAAATAAAAAAAGTGACAGATAATTAAAATTAATCAATTAACTAATCAGTTGAGTCATCAAACTAATTAGACGAAAAAAGTTAATTTCCTATGTAAAGATACAGGGAAAAACTTGATCGAATCAGCGATTTTTTTTTTGATAATCATTTGCAACTCCAACAATCAAAACTAATCACAATGATAATCATCGCCCTTCACCACCCACTTCATGGAGGGTGGGAAACTGTTCCACCTCGAACTGAATCATCATAATCTCTTATGTAATTGCTTAGCATTTGTTATGTAGTCTTTGTAAAGGAAAACATTAAGTTCAAAGGTTTTTTTTTCTGTATTATCATGCTTGGTATTCATCATCATCATGATTGTTCATTCAATTTGCCCTGAATGCTGAGTTATCATGATGCTAAAATTTGTAGTTATATTATCATGGTGATGATGATGATGATGAGACTCTGGATGTTGACGATAATGCTGATATCTAGTAAATAGTAATGATAGTGATAATAATATAATAGCGTTGGAGGAAACATATTGTCTGGAAACAATGAATTCTGAGTATATTTTAAAGAAGATGATCAAGAGAGAGAGAGAGAGAGAGAGAGAGAGAGAGAGAGCGATGGGGAAGATAAAAATTCACATCAAAATATCTTCTTCTTTTCTTCTTCCTTCTCCTCCTCCTTTTTTCTCTTCATCATCTTCAAGAAATTCTGAACAATTCAGATAAAATATACACATGAACAGATAGATAATATTATCATCATGTTATGTTCAATTTCAACAACAAAAACCATGTTATCAAGTGGTGGTTCTTGGTAGTTCTCGGTGGGATATGTGTAAGTGAGAGTGTAGATGCAAGGAGCTTGAAGATGAGAGAGAAAGAGAAAATCAAAGAAGAAAAAGTTTCATTGTCAAGTTTTTCACCTTAAAGTCTCTCTCTCTCTCTCTCTCTCTCTTTCTCTCTCTTGCTCTTCCATGGAAAATTTCACCTCTCCCTCTGAAGTGTTTTCTCACCTCCTCTCTTATCATGCTCTGAATTTTATACCTTAGAACTTTTTTTTCTCAGTTTTCACTTTCAACCGATTCATTGTAATTCTGTTAAGGCAAAAAATTCTCATCCAAGTTTCGATTCTAAAGTTACTATTACATGATGATAATTCTGATTCGACAAAAAAAAGATATAAAAAGGAATCGCCACTCAACTACTAAGGTGAAATGAGAAAAAAAACAACACTCGAAAAACGACCCAATCAACATACAAGAATTTTGTGAATGAAATTGAAATTTTTTTGAATCATTTATGAATCAGCTTATGAATTTATCATGAATCAGAGCTTTTTTGGGATTCATTTTCTTTCAAAAAAATTAGAATTAGAAAAAAAATTTTTTTTCATTTTTGATTTGAGCGCCGAAAATGTTGATTAAAATGATTTAGTTATTTTTCCGCGAGAAAATTTTTCAAAATGTAAACAAACACAAATGGTTTTCTACTGAACTGTGTTTTAATTTCAATTGAGCATAAGAATTTTGTTATTGTGAGAAATTCAACGAGGTAATAGATAAAATTCAATGATTTTTTACAATTTGTACTACAATATATGTGATTGGAAAAAGAAAATTTTCAGGTAACTTCTAAATAGAATATTAGAAAAATAACAATTTCTGAATAGAAGGTTTGAATGTAGAATTAGTAAATATTCTCATCTTCGAGTTCAAAATCCATTGGAGGAATTTCTAATGAATAGTTCATCACTGATTCTTGTGAAAAAGAATCTATTTCCATTTCTTTAAGCTCTTGAGAATAATCCATGAGGGTTGGAAATTTATCAAATTCAGTGCTATTTTCCTCCATGGAACTGTTTCTTTGAAATATTGAAAATTCTCTTTCTGGTCCACATCCATTGGTGATTCTGGACAATAGTAATTCATGGAATGGGAACCTTTTCAATGGATTTTGGAACAAAATTACCCATAATCATATATGAAAATAAAGCTTAAAGAAAACAGAAAATTAGAAAAAGCTAACGCAAAACTAAAAGATTGACTTAGATTTTTTCTTACCTGATTTTATTCTTTGTTTTAGAATCACTTGAAATAGAAGAAATTTAAACACAATCAGTTGGAGCACAATTAGAAATAAACAAAATTCTAAAAATTGATTAAGATGAAATTAAAACTGAAAGTTGTCACATAAACACAGAACAAGACTGATTGGATTGTTTTCTAAAAGAAAAGCTAAATTGAGAAAGTTCTTTTCTTTAGATCATTCGACCATATGTTTTGGTTTTGAATTGAATTTTCTCAATTTAAACCTTGTCCTCTTGGAATAACTACTTGTTCCATAAATATTG